AAAAAGACGTAAACATTTTGATCCTTTTCAGTGACGTTCGTCTCTATGGTGTCTATTGAATGAAAACTCCTTTTGTCGACAGATTTGCACTTTAAAAATAAATTCATTGAAGGCTTACAAAAAACAAATCTACTTTAATATTATACTCGCTTTTTTTCGTATAAATATTTCAATAAAAGCAACATTTCTTCTCTCATCTATCAATAAAAGTAGTGTTTTATTCAATTATCTGAACGCCGATAAGGAATAACGGGAAGTGATAATGAAATGGGTGTTAAGGCTATGACCAGACATATGATCATCGCTTATACATAAGACAATAAGTCCGAGAATTATATACATTGAGATTTATTGTTTGGTAAAATTAAGTGAATCCATTTAGACATCGATTTAACGCTTAATTCATTAGATATACCATAACTTTATTATTATCAATAGATTTATAAACATTTATAATTCTTTATTATTTAAATTTGAATGTTATGTAATATAAGTAATGTATTTATTTTTAGAAAAATTGGGATTACAGAGGATATTGTGTAAGAGCCCAATGCCTAACCCCAATGCCAACCCTTGTAAGCATTAGTGTGTAACGAATTAATTAAATAAGCATGGTAATTAAGCTTTAATGTTTATTTCTCATGCCTTGTCTCGTGTGGTGTGAAGTCAAACAAAGTTTAATTTTAAGAATTAATCGCTTTTAATCTCAGACTTCATTTAAAAACGGTTTATAAATGAATTTATGAAACAAATAAATGTCACTTTCTCTCTAAGCCTTTCATTTATTTATTGCATTAAATACTGATATAATGTGTTGAATAATACAATTACGGATATACTTTCACTCACTCAATGGCTCTCTCTCTCTCTCTCTCTCTCCTAACTGTTATATAAAAGTCAAACTACTATAATATAAAAGATAAACAAAAGGACGCATTCATTGAGATTTTTATTTGTGTGTTTGAAACGATAAAAGTAAGACAAAAAATATATGCGATAACCGAGACTTACATTATCTGAATTCTGCCGATGGATGCGATTTGATCCGCAATTACTGCCATTAATGTTGCGTTTGTGTCGAGGATTGCACTGACTGTCAGATCCAACAAATTTTCCAAATTCAACTGTCAATGAAATTTACGATATTATATATGAAATGCAAAGTTCAGGCAAAAAGTATTAATTAAATTCCTCAGAGATCTGATGAGAGATATTACTATATAAAAAACTATCACTTATAGGACAGACATACCTGTGACCGGTAATACTGTAACGGTTCCACACTTTTTGCTCTTAAACTTAACCTGTTCTGAGACCGACACCGACAACATTGTCTCTTATGGTATATCTCTATCGCTATCTTTTTTAATCCTATATATTCTGTAACTCAATATTACAG